CACCCTGTCAACAATAAGTGGATCATGATTGATCAGTGCAACAGCGAGTTTACGTGTTTTATTATCCAGGAGCGCTCTTTTGAATATAACATCCAGATCATCCGAAGAAAATATATCCTTCAAAGCAGAAAGAATTACTTCGTGTCGTCTCGTCCAATCATCCATTTCTCGATAGCAAACAAAGCAGGCCCGTCTTGCCCACGACTTGTCCGCCAGGAGATTTTGTGGCCCAAATTTCATTTCGCATATCGCAGCATATTCTTTTGGCGTTATTACTCTTTCGGAATGAGATGAGACTGAGTTGGTGATGCCGTTCAAGCCAAGTGAAAGCAAGCTTTTTTCGGTCATCAAAACTTCACTTTGGAATTTAGCGAGTGTTATTTATTGTCCTGATTTCGTCGTCAATGTTCTGATATCCAATTAAATGCTCTATCTGTGACGTGGCTGCCTTAAATTTGTTCTTGCTAAAGCACTGGCAGCGAGAAGACTGGCCAGTAGATCAGCGCGTAAGTAGCAAAATGCATGACTGTAGTTGTATGATGTTGCGAAAGTCAGATCTGATCAGGAAAATGAAACTGTAATGAAAAAAAATTTGTAATGTCTATTTGTATCTTTTGCCAACAAAAAATTGTACGATTGAAAAATTTCACGAAAAAATTCAAGTTACACTTTAAGGTTATTGAAGATATTCAGATAGGAGATAGCTGGTTTTCAAAGTCAACAAAATAAGTGTGAGCTCAATGTGGTATACTTTTGGTGGAATCCGCAGGGATTTGAAGGCCCTGCATTACGATGTTCAGTTGAAAGTTTGTCTATATTAATGTGTATAGACGTAGTGACTTCTCAATTTCACCTAGCTGTATATACTATACTGTATCAAATCTAATATGCAAATTAGTATTGAACTGTACCGTGCAAAATTCGAACATGAATTCTGGCTCAGTGGTTTGGGTCTGCTGGCTCCAAGCTGTTGAGTGAGGGTTCGAGTCCCGTTACGTTTAAAGTGAGGAAGCAGTTACTTGGTGTTTGGGGTTCACCAAGCTCCCCAGCAGGAGTCACGTCCC